AAAGTGGTATCGGCTCGTTGGCCACATGCCTTTGCAATTCGAAGTTACGGAATTACCCATGCTCTGTCCACCCATCCCCTGGATAGACACCAGCCGTGCCGGTTATCTTTTGGCATCAAGTAAGTTCGCCACTGGCGTCGATGCCGCAGCTGCTGTTCGATACACTTAACCTGACACTAGTATTTTCCAACAGGCATTGTTGCATAAACACACCTTATCTGGCCCGAAGGGCATTTTCCGGTTAAAAATGGGATTTCTTACGTAGGGCTGCAATATTGATTATCATACCACGTAGGCCCAGCACATTTCGTTCAGGGTGCTAGGATATAGGCTTTTGATTGCACGCCTACGCTCGGAAAAAATAATTGCTTTTTGTAGTATGATTATTTCCGTTCCTTTTCGGTGCGCATATACAGCACGGCCCAGAATTCGTGCAACATGCCGAAGCACTCGCAAACCAGCATTCACACTTAGAAGTAATAATGAACAACCTTTGGGCAAATTTATTACTTAAAAGAAATATATGAAGCACTTCTTGCTAATTAAGAAAAACGACATTATAGATTTTGAAATTATAAATATTTCCAAACCAAAACAACTCACGTCTCCTAGTTTGAGAGGTGAAGATTTAGTTTGCTACCAGTTGGGTACAAGAAGAATATTTCAGAGTGTGTTTTCTGTTAAAAGATACTGAGTTTATAAGGATATTGAAAATAAAAAGAGGAAAAATTCATAATACTTAAGTGGTAATCTCTCCCCGTATGTTTTTTTTCAAAGGAACGGAAAGAAGCTGCCGTCCTGCTGCAGCTGACATTTTTATGAATTATACCGCACTATAGTTGACATTACAACCCGCTTCCTAATTGATTTCAGCATTTTGGACTAACGTTTCATGAAATAGGCCGGGTGCTATGTATGCTAGGAACAATAAGCTATCCAGTGAAGATCCAGCTTTAATAGTATTCGTACTGTCAGTGCCTACTGCCCAGTGAGGACCGCGCTATATTAAACATGCACTTGCTCACAGGTGATTCGACACGTCTTATCAGACGACCGAACTACTTCTACGGTACGGACGCTGCCGCCAACGATGACTTGGACTTTGACGCCAGCAAAGTCTTGCTCGTTCTGGACGCTCTCAATGCCCTAGCTTCTTGTCCATGGAAAGTTAATACGCCGGTATGTTGTGAGTGTCTTACTACGTTGCCCCCATCTCGCAGCCTTCTGATTCCATTATTTTTGGTTATGTTTAATTCTAAGGTCGACTTGATCATCTGTTTTACCTCCCCCCCCATCGAGGTAATTTTCAACCCTTTTTCAAATTTACTTATCAGTGGCCATAATCGTTTCATACAATAAGGATTTTGAAGAAAGAAGACGAATTGTTGGGCACCGGAATAAGTGGTTTATTATCCTGTTTTGGGAAGCAGGGAAACCAGGTATTTCTTGATAATTCAACTAGAGCGGGAGCGAAGTCCGTGAATGCTTCATGACGTCAATCAGCATATTTCGAGAAAATGACAGAAGCACTTCAAATCTCAATTTAAATGGTACAAGTATGCATGAGAAGTAGTTAATTTACAAAAATTCTCACAGGTCGCGTTTTGTATGAAATATGTTTAACACTAATATTGAACCATATATTATATATATTAGTGAAATAAAGTGAACAACACGTTGACTGCATCCATTCAATGAAATTTTCACAGTTAGATTTTATTTAAACAACACTATCTATTGAAATCGGAGGAGTAGCATGTGTATAGTTACTCAAGTATCCCATTAGATAGCTGGTGGGAGCTCGGGTTGACAGCCAACGTGTGATTAGGATTACACCTCTTCCAACTTTGCTGTGGTTTTCTGGTTGTGATTATCCACAGTGCGTTGGGCTGCGCCCTATTTCATCTTCGGTCTACTTGATTTCGTTTTGACACCCGACCAGGTGAGAGAGGGGAGAGGGCGTGAGGTAGGTGCAGCGCAAATATACTCACACTATAGTCCAGCGCAAATCACTGCCCCTGCACCATCCTGCTGTGGAACACATATTGGACTTTGTCGATACCGACTGTCGGCTCAGGATTACACCTGGGATCTCAACCGATGCAGGTGACTTGGCTGCGAATTTTATCATGGGCTCTTTTCAGCTTCGCTTCAACTGACATTCCACCTATCTACAACAGCACATCGCACCAGGGACGGGTCTTCTGTACACAGTATAGCAGGTTAACTGTCAGTTCGTGTCCTTCTTAGATTTGACTCTATTTCATAAAGGGCATGTACAACCAGCTATTTCTTTGATCCAATTTCGTTAGAGTTTTGGTCTTTAAATTTTTATAGTCCGACAAAAAGCCTTTTTTCTATTTTGAAAACGTTCTAATTCTAAAACATTTCGGTCACTGGTGGAACTTAACGCGTGATCTGGTAGCTGAATGGTGCACACCTACTTCAAATTGTATGAAGCAAAAACGTATGGTGCTATTATTTCACCCGTAGAGGATGTTTTATAACCTGCATCTAAGGAACCTTGTGTACAGATGTAATAGCAGGTTAGGTTTACAATAACGCAGGAATTGAAAACTTTTTGCATGTCAGAACACAATTCCATCAGGTTAAAAGTCAGGTAATGACATACGTTATATTAAACCAGCCCCCTATGCGTACTTTCTGTAACAGGACTCGAGTGCCGTAAGTACTACAAAAATGAAGGCAACAGTGCATACTATTTAAGTAGTATATGTTAACCAGTAAAGTACGCTCACCCATAATCCAATGCCGTCTCGTTTATAAAATACTATGGGATCATATTACCTGTAAGTTGGTATTGCAGCACAAATGGTAAAGTCCCTTCTTTCTGAGGTTCTATTTTAGCTCATATTTCGTGAGCTTGTGTACCTACATACGTCGTGGGACTTTCGTTTGTGTAATTACAGTTGTGGTGTCCCCCTCCCTCAGGAATCTTTTCGTCTTTTTATTTTAGATCCTTGACGCTCTAATCCAAGTGGGTCGTTCTGGTGGTGATTCTGGACTTACCATACCAGAAACCAAATCTCTTCCACCACTGAAACCGAAGAAAATATCCAGGTTAAATGCTCATTTTTTCTGGTCGTGTGGCACTTTTCATCCTTGCACCCGCTCTTTGAAAATAGGCTACTTCGGTTTGAGCATAAACCAGTGCCGAGCTTTAAGACTTCACAAGCATAAATTCTATGGGGTGCATTTCTTTGTGCTTAAGGTTGGCCTACCCAGTCACTTTTACTCTTGGTGGATACAGCGGTAACGCTTTAAAAGTGGAACCTTATTTGAGTTTGTTTTGACTAAGTTTTGGGTAATATATACTACGGTCTGCAATTCGTGTAACATACCGACATGTGCGAAACATTGATACTCACTCGCTAATCAGCACTCAGTAAGGTTGTGATACTGATTATCTTGTAGTCTATTCTGAAGTCATTTCAGTCCCGATAGGATGCTGGCTATTTAAAGAGCTTCTTTCCGACCGCTAACAGGTAGTGTGTACCACAAAACGAGGCTACTTAAGTAGTATGTGTTTTTATCATAGACTTTGACTGTCTTTACAAATTCAAATATATTTTATGGAAAACGTGCACGAAAAAAAGTTTTTTTTTCTTTCGTAGCAAATTATGCCTTTATAAATACAAATACGTACAGTATGGCGAGTGATGCATGCAAAAGTCAAGACGAAAAGTAACTTGGTAGTTTAGCATACAGTTGATCAGGTTATTTTGCGGCTCCGAGTAGATTTAATCCTGCGAAAGCCTTCTATTTAGGAAAATGGCCCTTTTATTTAAGTTTATTTAGGGTAATGTGCATTAATTTTGGCGAGATTGGGTGTCGTCTCATATTGAAGGAATTTTCTATGCTAATAAGTACGACAGAACCAAACATTTTATTTATATGCCTTATTCTATGGTAGAATTCCAAAGTAAACAAGTGTAGAACATCCCTTCCAGAACCAGACAATTTTGTCCGAAATTGCTCAGAGGCAGATATTTTCAGAAGCAAGGAATGATTTATGTGTTGAAAATTATTTTACCTAACCTGTGAAATGTTATTCCACGACATGCAGTACCAAAAAGTTTTGGTGGCGTTTTGTTTTACCGCATCGCCTACAT